CTTCCGATCCTTTTTTCAGAAGAGGATTTTGTGGAAAAAAACGCAGTTTAGACATGGTTCTTTGGGGGAAAAAACCCTTTTTCGAAAGAACCCTGTGCACCTTTGAGAGGCAGGAATGTTTTGGATAATCATGTAGTCTAAGTAGCACAGCGAAACCACAGAAAAACCATACAACAAGCAACCTTGTACTGGTATATCTGTTTCTGAGAAGCAAAACAATACAAGATACAGTGATAAAACTTTCAGCGGTGCACATTGTTTTTGCAACAGCCTCAGTAGCATGACGTACCCCCAAAACAGGCAAAACTGGTGCCTTACACAATACATAATTGAATGGAAGATATGAGCAGAATGACCCAGCTGAGTATAAATATAGGTGTAGAAAACATAGTCAGTGCAAGGGGTTGGGTAAGAGGTCCTCATTACCTCACTCGCTGCAGTTAAGAAATTGGTGCCTGTTCCTTCCAGCAAATGCCTTGTGGATGCCTCTATGCATGGGGAAAAAAAGAGGCCACAGCCTCTCATCTGACAATTGTAAGTTGCTAACAGTGGAACTGTAGGTGAGTTATAGAAATAAGTACATATATGCTTATGTCCTTAAAGTTCAACACTTTGCATGTCATCCTAGCTGTAGGTATGTTGGATGTCTGGGAAGCCAGCTGGATAGCCAGACTCCCCCTGCCCCTTCCCCAACACAGTGGCTCTGGGCTCACCCTTAGCCTGGCGGAGGTCCCAAGTGCAGCCGGGAAGGGCTCCATCTCTTCAAGGCTCTGGGCATCTCCTCCTCACCTGTTTCAAGCTTTCCTGTCCTGACTCCACGGGGCTGCCCTTTATGTGTGGCAGGGGTGCCCCCCTCTCGCCTGTCTCCCCCAGAGGCTGGTGGGGGCCGGTGAGCTTAGCAGAGCCCCAGGGACCAGGGCGGGGAGGGCGCGGCTTCCTGGGAAAAGCTACCAGCAGGCTGGTAAATAACAGCATCAGCCTGGTTTGCAACCAGACCCTGGGGGGTCCCACAGCAGAGCAGAAATCTTGGGGCATCTCCTTTTGCATCTAAAGACTAAGCCTGTTGGACCCACTGCACTATGTGGGGGCACAGATGTTTTGGGGGCACTGCAGTACCAGGGCAGTGCCTGGGTGCAGAAGGGTTGGGGCACTGCGGTTACTGGACAGTGCCCTGATGCAGTTTACTGGCCTGGGTGGCCACAGGTGTGTTGCCAAGAGATCCAGTCCTTGCCCGGTTGCAGAGGTATATCTGGGACTGACTCGGCTCCTGGCATCTCCAGCAGAGTCCTTGGCTTGGGACCTCCTCTCCCCAGGCTCCTCGTTAGTCTGCAGCCTGGGGCAGGTAGGGTCTTGTGAGCGTCATGGCTCCTGAGTCCCGCAGGGGGAGTCTGGCCACAAGGCAGCGCGGATGGTGAGTCCCAGTGCAGCGGTTTGGGACTCAGCCACTGAGGAGGCTCCTGGTGGGCCCATTAAAAAGTTTTCCATTTCCAGACGCAAAGCTAAGTGAGCCCAAGGGGAGCCACTCTCCAGCTCATCCCATGAGGAGTAAGATAAGGGTCTGAAACATAAACCCATGTTTCACTGGCCTGCTCTGAGGCCTGCGGCCTGGCTAACAGTGTTCCAGCCTTAGTTAATATGAAGCAAAGCTAAGCTGTGAGTGAGAGGCAGGTCCCTGCTCACGGACCTTGCTACAAACAGGGCTGAGAGTGTAAAACACTAGCTGGTACTAGGCCCGGGGGTAGCACAAGAATGGGTGCTAGAGAATAGCTGTAAAACAGTTATTGGCACAAGGCATAGACTGAATCCTGTGTGCCGATGTGGCCGCCTCATCTCAAAAAAGATCTCTTGGCACTGGAAAAGATTCAGAAAAGGTGACATTTATCGATGCTGGTGCTGAGGCCTCAACTTTCACTTTCCCGCCGGGCTCCCTTCCTGGAGAGAGAATCCGACCCTGGCTGGGGGTGTGGTCAGACTCCCCGCTCAGCCTGTGCCCCTGAAATCAGCCTCTCTAGCCTCACACACCCCAGTCTCTGTGACCCTGGAGTACTCCCCTCTCCCCAGCCCCTAGCTCCTCATCTCTGTGATGCCTGACAGCTCCTCCCACTCCCTTCCTGCAGGAGAAGTCCCCCTCCAGCTCCAGTAGGAGCAAAGATGGGGGCTGGGCAGGGGCAGAACTAACAGCCAGGCTGGGGACAGGCAGAGGTGGGGGTGATAGGACACAGAAATAAAAATGGCAGCTGCACAGCACCAGGGAGCGATTTGTACCAGTCTGTGTCCTGAGATCTCACTGAGGTCTCCAGCCAGAGCTCCTGCTGCAGGAGCCACAGTCTCCTTTCCCTGTGACTGTGGGGCAGCCGGCAACACTTGTCATCAGCATCCTCCCTGAGTTTCCATCCCTGAGTGGAGGGAGTTTGGCCTTGTGCACCAATACTGAGGTCATGGGCGCTTGTTGGGACGTGCGCCATGAACATTCATATTTAAACATGAGTCTTGTCACTTCTGTACAAATAACTTTTGAATAAATGTTATTCATTTCTATAGCATATGAAAATGACTTTCAGCCTCTCCCTGAGTCTATGTGGATATTCCCTTAATATGGGTGTTTTCAAAGGAATTTCAATGAAGAATACTGCTGTTCTATTTCCTAAGCTGTTACATGTTCCAAAACCAATCACTTTTGTCCAAGCCATGCATGTGTCACAAAATGCAAGTCTCAGTTTCCTCTCCCCCGTTGAGAGCTTACTTTAATTCTTGCCACTAAGGGAACATCTACACTGCAGAACTATTTTGGGATATCGGCAGTATCCTGAAATAGGCTGCTTCAATAGAGGCAGAATGGCTATTATTTTGAAAGAGATTTCAAAATAACGGGCATTTTATTCTGGTGTCTCAGTAATGCTCGTTCCACAAAGGTTAAGGGGTGTTTCAGAGTGGTGTGTTATTTCGAAATTTGGCACTGTGTAGACCTGTGCCAAATTATGAAGTAACCTGTTTTGAAATAGCATCGAAGTAAGCTACACAATTTGCTTAGCACATATTGCATAGCTTATTTCCAGCTAAGGGTGCTGTGTAGATGCACCCTAAGGCTATATCTGAACTGGCAGCTCCTTGCACAAGAACATCTTGTGCAAGGGTTCTTGTGCAAGAAGTCTTGCGCAAGAACACAGCCACACTGTCATGTGTGAGATGTGCTTTTGTACAAGTGTGCCCATGGCAGTGAGGACGTGTGGCAAGGATTCTTGCACAAGAAAGCCCTATGACTA